CAGGATGCGACCCACACCAGTCCACTAACACCCAGGTACCCATTTTACTGATGGGTGAACATATATAACCAGTGTAAAGGAACACGCCCAATGTTTCTACTCTCGCTGGGAATCGAACGCAGACCCTCGCCGTGTGAAGCGAGAACTTCAGCGATCAGGCCAGGGAGCTAACACATAAACAAGAGGAAGTGAATATACACATCTGTACAAGTAAGATCGAGAATATCTGGGAGAAATTGATAAAGTATCTGATCGTAATGGTAGAAATTGATAAAGTATCTGATCGTAATGGGAGAAATTGATAAAGTATCTGATCGTAATGGAAGAAATTGATAAAGTATCTGATCGTAATGGGAGAAATTGATAAAGTATCTGATCGTAATGGGAGAAATTGATAAAGTATCTGATCGTAATGGAAGAAATTGATAAAGTATCTGATCGTAATGGGAGAAATTGATAAAGTTTCTGATCGTAATGGGAGAAATTGATAAAGTATCTGATCGTAATGGGAGAAATTGATAAAGTTTCTGATCGTAGTAACAATACACTGCTGGTCAGACCAATATTAACTTCCACCTAAAGGAAAAAAAAAGTATAACTGATGAGACGGAATATTTGAATATAACAGTTATGATGTAGTTAACAGGCTACTAAGATTTGTAAAAATAAATTAGTAAATTTGATGTGATTAGCAAGAATAAGATTTTGTGATGAGTGGTGGAGTTGAACGACAAGATTTTGGAGTTTACCTGGAGAGACTTCCGGGGGTCAACGCCCCCGCTGCCCGGTCTGTGGCCAGGCTTCATGGTGGATATGGTGCTGCTCAGAGGAAGTTGTTATTGGTATTAAGATATCAAAAACACTGCTGGGACAAGTGTAGAAGTCTTCGAGGGGAAACTGGACAAGTATCTTCACCAGGTGCCACATCAACCAGGTTGTCATGGATATGTGGAGCTGCGGGCCACCACCAACAACAGCCTGCTTGACCAGGCTAGCACCAGACGAGCCTGGCCCATGACCGGGCTCCGGGAGTAGAAAAGCTCTCGGAACTCATCAAAGGCATAAAGGTATGTATCAGGTCCTCGACGGGATGTAGGGACGAAGGATGTGACCAGCGCGCAGCCTGGACTTAGGGATGTCTATGTCGCTGGAAGGGGAAGGGGGGCTAACAGACTTATTTTGAAGCCCTTTATTTTTATTTAGGGGTTGAAGCCCCCCTGGCGTCCCCACTGCATGTGATTGTCAAACATACGTTATTACGATATAGATATATATATATATATATATATATATATATATATATATATATATATATATATATATATATATATATTATATATATATATATATTATATATATGCAAGGAATTCGCGAGAGCATGCGAAATATACACAAACACTGATCTCTGGCTGAGTTCCACTGGCTGATGTTACCCGTCATATATAATCTACAAATTGGAAATAAAAATTAGACGACATTTCGGTCCATCCTGAAGCGTTGTGATGGTCCAAGACGGACCGAAACGTTGGCTAATTTCCGTTGCTAACTTGTGGGTTATATTGGATTTGTCCCCTCCGCGGTGTTGTTATATTATTATAATGGTCGTTATGGTCGTTATTTTATGCCTTTCAATATTGTTAAGATTTTTTTTACAATACTGTACAAGATTCACTTCACACTGACGACCTTCAGATTACACTGACGACCTTCAGGTTACACTGACGACCTTCAGGTTACACTGACGACTTTCAGGTTACACTGGCGACCTTCAGGTTACACTGACGACCTTCAGGTTACACTGGCGACCTTCAGGTTACACTGACGACCTTCAGGTTACACTGACGACCTTCAGGTTACACTGACGACCTTCAGGTTGCACTGACGACCTTCGGGTTACACTGACGACCTTCAGGTTACACTGACGGCCTTCAGGTTACACTGGCGACCTTCAGGTTACACTGACGACCTTCAGGTTACACTGACGACTGACGACCTTCAGGTTACACTGACAACCTTCGGGTTACACTGACGACCTTCCCACAAATTCACTGTGGTCTCACACACGTTTTTTTTTTTTTTTGACTCGCTATGGTATGAGGTGGAGCACACACTTAATCTTTCCCTACAGACAAGAATTCAACACTTGTTGCAAATGCTCAGCAATCTGCAAACGCAGAAAAGATAACTATATTGTCCGCCGAAGTTCACTACATTACTAACGGCGTTCTGCAGTTCGTAATTAATTTATAATGCATTTTTTTCGCCGGTAAAGCGGCTAGTTTACTGTACACCCCATATCCATCCTGTGAACGCTAGCGCGAGAGCTAACCTGACTCTGGAACGACATGAGCAGTAGATTATATTTGTCGTCCAGAATCCCTGGAACAGCATCAACCAGCAGGCAGCCCCACACCTCCGCCCTCACTGGAACACCATCAGCAGCAATGGCTGGGCAGGCATCATGAGGCCTACAACAGCAGCAGGGAGAGTTGGCGTGTCTCTAGTAGATCGGGATAATGCTGGTAAAGATGTCGGTGAAGGACACGGGACACTGCGGGTAGATGGCGTGGCAGGAGCCGTGTACACGCCCGTAGTATTCGGCGGTGGTGTACTCGTTATCCACGCTGTTCCCCACATCGCTGAACGATGATGTCACCCTGGGAAACGAAGCATCTCTAGATAGATAGGAAAGTTGTAATCTCGACTCTAAAAAAGAAAATGCAACGTGATGGGCAGGCATAGTAAACAAAACCAGTTTAAACAAATGTATAACACTGCTACACCTTAAAAAGGTGACTTAAGAACCACACCCCAAACAACCAACATTAATACAATTATTACTCACGACAACATTAAGTTTACCACCTCCCCGAAGAGACCTTGTTGAAAGGGCGTCTCGGCGACCTCACATATGGTTCTCAATGCACAGGCGTGACCGTCAAACCCCAGGCTGCCGAGGTCAGAAAAAAGGTCATGACGAGGGAGGCTCACAATTATGGCTGCCAACTGGCTGCAATACTCTTCGTATTGTGTTTGTACTAAACAGTGTTTATACAACTGGTTAGCAATTCTGGAATTTGCATGAGCTTGCAAGGGAGTACACGAAATGGAAAGCTGGAAGAACCACGAAAATGGGGATGGAAACAGTGAAAGAAGCAGAAACAATAACAAAGAAAATGTGAAAGGAAAAAAAATTAACAGTTTTAATTAAGCATCTTGTACCGTTAGCAAAAGCAAGTTGCAATCCACAAACAAAAAGATATATACATGAATAAAAAAACTCTCACGCAGGAACGTACCCACACACGCAGGAACGTACCCACACACGCAGGAACGTACTCACGTACACGAATAAACACATAAACATATACACGCAAGAACGGAAGCACACACCGACACACACATAACAAAAATTTACAATAACGTGAATGGAACAACACACAAATAACCCGCACATAAGGGAATGAAATCTGAAACGACGTTTCGGTCCGACTTGGACTAATTAACGAGTGACTAGTAATGGTCCAGATCGGACCGAAACGTCGTCAGACGTTTCTTTCTATGTGAGCGTTATTTGTTTATAAACGCACACAGTAACACATAGTAACACACAGTAACACATAGTGACACACAGTAACACATAGTAACACATAGTAACACACAGTAACACATAGTGACACACAGTAACACATAGTAACACATAGTAACACACAGTAACACAGTGACACAGTAACACATAGTAACACAGTAACACATAGTGACACACAGTAACACATAGTAACACAGAAACGCACGCACACAGACGCGATGCAACGCAACACAGGAACACAGGTACACACACACGCACACAGACGCGCTGCAAAGCAACACAGGAACACAGGTACACACACGCACCTGTCAAGAAACTGTTCAGCTTGGTGGTAGAAATCGAGGCGCTGCTCCATCGCTTCCATGGAACGTCCGAAGTTAATCCTGGTGTCGTTGGGCAAGTAGAAGAAACTAGTACTGGCGATTGCCAGACCATTAGAGATGCCGAAACCAGCCACAGCGATTCGTATGGTGGTCCTGATCTGTCGATTTGATTAAGGAATTGCTCTTTAAGTCTGTTTAGCGCTTCCTTTTGATTATAATAATAATAATCTTTAAGTCTACTAGGCAGTTCTGTGTGTGTAAATTAAGGATGCAGAAACTGAACCATTTTTTTCATTGCGAAGTGAAGGTTGAGAGTATAAGCTGAATGTGTCATATCTCTGGTAAAAATAAATGTGTAATACACTCTTGTAAATGAACAAATAGATAGGCAGACAGACAAATGGATAGATAGAACACTTAAAAAAAATTAAGTAACTGTTGCAAGTTAAGGCTTCGACTTACAAAGAATGAGGATCCAGTTGGGAAGGAGAAGAAGCGTCTCTTGCGGTACTTGGCCACCTTGCTCTCCTCGGGGATTTTCTGCAGCCACTCTGGTGTGTCCAGCACGTCACCCTCGTGTTGCACTGTCACGCTCTTCCTCAAGGACGAGCTCGGGACAGAGGCCGAGTCTAGTATCGTCACTTGGAGGCCGAAAACCAACACCACCAGCAGAGTGTACATAGTTCTGTCCATAATTTTTTTTTTTTGGGGGGGGGAGGGCTTTCAGGTCGTGTGTGGGGTTAATTGTTTTTGATTGCTATTTTGTGGTTATCTGTTTGTAGTTACGGGAGAAGAACAGTCCCCGCTGTGTCCCGTCTTCATCAATATTATTTTCTTGAATTTCGACATATTCCCCTGAATGCGGCCTAATGACTTTAATGTTAATATGATATATGTAATCTTGAGACTATATTCAGGTGCTGCATCACTTCATACTCAGCTACTATATAATGCGGATTTACCTTATGAAATTACTAATATCTCAAAGGTGATATTATTTACCTAATGAAGTCTGATGAAGATACAATGTGGCCCTATAATTTTTTCTTCTCTCTTCCGCTCATAGGATGATGTTGGATTATTTGTCAGGGAAAATCATACAATGACTCGTTTAGTTGTGCTGGCAGGGTCGAAGCAAGAAGCGACCGCTGGCATTGCGGTGCTATAACACGTGTCTACTGGCACGGACGAAGGTGTGGAGAACGAACAAGGGGTGCACAATAAACTAGCCGCTCAGGCGGCCTAACTTAAATTAACAGTAGACTACACACAGATTCAAATTTATCGGTGTGTGAACAAAAGCAACACGTGTGAGGAGGCTTGTCCATCCGTGGTTTCCTTGCTCGGGTGATCGAATCCAGGATCTGTGGGATGTGTGCTGGACGTTCTGCCAACTGAACTTTGTTATTTGTGATTGAACACGTTTCTAATCTATACAATGTTCTATTTGCGCAGCTGTCCGTAGCGGACAGAAGCCCACCAAAACGCGGGGGGACGAGAGCTAGACGATCAGAACTGGACGAGAGTTGGGTGGTCAGTGAAACAGGCCGCCGGCCTCTGCTCACTCTTATATTGTCCAGTCTACGCCACTTTTCACTTGTTACCTGGAAATTACTTAATGGCTCCGTCCAGCAATGGCTCGTCTGCACTTAGCGTCGCCGTCGCCGCTCGGAGAGATCTGGAACAGGGAGGAGACAGAGGCATCCTGGAAGACTCTCTCTCAGGGGAAACCCCAGTGGAAATAAGTCACTTTTATTATATATTTTATATATATATATATAATATATATATATATATATATATATATTTTATATTTTATATATATATTATATATATATATATATATATATATATATATGTATGTATGTAGTATTAAAATTCTGAACTGTTGTCTAGCATGTTAAGTTCACGATGCGGCAGTAGGCTACTCAGCCTTTTGTTATATTATTATGGGTTGCATACATCTCATGAAAACGCGTGTCAAGGGTTTGGGTAGACTGAAAGTACCCTGGCTCTATTTAATAGTTTTTGATGCCAGTGATGGACGATTCCAGGCACCGTTCCTGGATCTGTTTGTTTCTTTAATAAGTTTCTGTATCTGTCTGCTTCTTTAGTAATAATAATAATAACAATAATAATATATTTATTTACTTTAAGTACATGTATAAGGTATACAGACCATAGCTGACATCACTGACATACTACTATATAGAAAGCCGCTTATTATGTAGAGCATTTCGGGCAAATTAAGGTCAGTGTCCCAGGATGCGACCCACACCAGCCAACTAACACCCAGGCACCCATTTTATTGATGGGTGACCATAGACAACAGGTGTAAAGAAACACGCCCAATGTTTCTACCCTGGCTGGGAATCGAACCCTGACCCCCTCCCCGTGTGCATGTATGTCTTCTTGATTGTACACTAGTTTTTAGAATATTTTGAACGAGATAACGTTAGTCGATAAGTGAATGCTATGCTGTAGCCAGTGAGGCTATTAATGACTGCCAGTCTTGTATTATACATATATCCATTTTTTTTACCCGACTAATCCCCCCCCCCTCTCTCCTCACATAACGACGTTTGACCAAAAATGCTGATCTTCAAAAAAATTTTTTTTCTTAGTTTCATTCCTCTCTCTGGCCGTCCCGTAGCTCGATTGGTAGCGGACGCAGCTCACACACTGAGGTCCGTGGTTCGATCCCCAGTACGGGTGGATACATTGGGACGTATTTCCTTAAAATATGCTGTCCATGTTCACCCAGTTGCTAAAATAGGTACCTGGGTGTTAGTTGACTGGTGTGGGTCGCATCCTGGGACCAAATTGACCTAATATGCACGAAATGTTCAGCATAACAACGGGCTTTTTATATAATAGTATGTCATTGATGTCAGCTTTGGTATGTATACCTTCTACATGTACTTGTAGAAATAAAGATTATTATTATTATTATTATTATTATTATTATTATTATTATTATTATTATTATTATTATTATTATTATTATAAGCTTCCAGATTCATGAGCAAACTTTAACGTGGTTGTCTACGTGCCTAATTTATTTATTTAGCAACAGGTACACGTAAATACAATTACACATTAAAAATCATGAGAAAGAAGGAACACTGCAACAGGGCCACTGACCCATGAGAGGCAGGTCCATGTCACTCCCCGGCTTAGACCAATGACCCACCTAGTCAGGTCACTTCCACTTAAGGAAAGAGCACGGCATAAGACCTGGTAGCACAAGCTAGTCAGGTCCAAATCACACCCACCCACACCCACTCATGTGTTCATCCAACCTATTTTTAAAACTACACAACATCTTAGGGTCTATGACGGTACTCGGAGTCTGTTCCACTTATCCACAACTCTATTACCAAACCAGTGCTTTCCTATATCCTTCCTGAATCTGATTTTTTTCCAATTTAAAGCCATTGCTGCGAGTCCTGTCTATGTTAGATATTTTTAGCACGCTATTTACATCCCCTTTATTTATTCCTGTTTTCCATTTATACACCTCAATCATATCCCCCCTAATTCTACGCCTTTCTAGAGAGTGCAGGTTCAGGGTCCTCAGTCTATCCTCATAGGGAAGATTTCTGATACATGGGATCAACTTTGTCATCCTCCTTTGTACGTTTGCCTTAAGCTGTACTGATAACTTAGTCACACAGAACACTCTTTCACAAATTATTTACGTTGATGTTCTGTTCACCAGTCTACTGGTGCAGCTGGTAGTGTTGCTGTTGTCATACAGAGTGATGGCTCTCATAAAGAAATTGGAGCACCCATCAATAACTGGGCCTCTACCCTTCAGACAGAACTGTTTGCCATACTCCTTGCACTCAAATGTGTCCATGTATCTAAGGTTGACAATTTAATTGTAACTGATTCTCTGTCATCCATAAATGCTCTCAACTCATTAAGTATAAATTGTGACATGCTTGTGTCAGAAGCCAGACACAGGTATGGTAAGATTGTGGACAGTGGAGTCAGAGTGCACATGCCGTGGATTCCATCTCACATTGGTCTTCAGATGCATGATAGAACTGATAAATTGGCTAAGCTGTATGCTTTCAAAGAGGGAGTAGATTACAATCTTGGGTTGTCAGTTAGCAGTTTGAGAACAATAATACGAAAAGAACTTCAATTGAACTTTATTGACTTAAGGCTTAGGGAGATTGACACAAGTCAGTCCATCTATCATCATTCCATCATGCAGGAGGACCCACAGGGTCTATGGTGCATCCAAAAAGATAAGCAACTTTTTGGATGTCACTACTCCCCGGCTCGGCTGGTTTTTTTTTTTTTTAAGTATCTTTGGCAGGTTAAACCCTCCCCACCAGATTATTTATTATTTATTATTTATTATTTTATTATTATTATTATTATTATTATTATTATTAAAAAAATTCGCCGGTTTTTCCCCCGGGGCCCCGGGCCTTTTCCAAGTGGGGGCCCCGGCCCTTTTGGCCCCTCTTTAGGGAGTGTTGAGACCAAAAGTCTCCCATGGGAGGGGAACCAAGTATCCTCATCTTTGGGACCAAACTGTCCCCGGCTACCCACAAGTTTGGCCTCTCTGGTCTGCCACCCCCGCCCCAAGGGGGCTAAGGGGAATAAACCAGTCTTATGAGCTAAAGGCGGGGGCACCTACCCTACATTTGGGGGGGTTAGGCATGGTGTCGATCCCCCCACCACCAGTGTGCCCCAAAGGGAAATGTAAAACTTTCCCAGAGGGAAACTATTGTCACACCCTGCGTCATTATGTACGGGAGTGCGTTAAATTTTTAAATGTTTTTTTAGAGACAATTCACTCAAAAATTTGTTCAAAAAATTCCCCAAATTATTTTACCCAAAGGGGAAATTTTTAACAGGACCATTTGGGGAAAAATTTACCCTGACTTGCTAGTTTGTAAATAAAAGCTTTTCCCAACGTGTTTTGGGGTGTGTGTGTTTTTTACTCCCAAATTGGGTTGCAGGGGTCGAGATTCAGCCCCGGGGCCCCGCCTCTTCCTGTTTCGCAAAGGCCCTCTCTCTCTCTGCTTCCTGAGCTTTGTCATACCTCTTCAAAAAAACTATTTTATGGTTCCTGCCTCCACTACTTCACTTGCTAGGCTTTTTCCCACTTGCTGAAAACTTATGACTGAGAAATATTTCCTAACGCCCCTGTGATCTTTTGGGTCTTAAGTTTCCCAAAGTTGTGACCCCTTGTCCCTGTGTCCCCTCTCTGGAAACCCTATTCTGTCCCCTTGCTACCCCCGCGTATTTTTGTATGTCTTTTTTCTTTTCTCCCGGGACCCTTCTTTCCTCCAGTGTCGTCAGCCCGTTTTCCCCTTCCCTTTTTCCTGTGGGAATTCCCTTGAGCTCTGGGACTAGCCTTGTTGCAAACCTTTGTACTTTCTTTTAACTTTTTGGACGTGTTTGGGACCAGGTGTGGGTTCCAGACTGGTGCTGCATACTCCAGTATGGGCCTAACTTAAAAGTGTACAGTGTCTTAAAACGTTTCCCTTTAAATTAAGGTATCGGAACGCTTTCTCAGGTTTCCCAGGCCCCCGTATGCTTGCAGGGGGTTTTTTTGGTTTTGATGGTGCCTCCGGGATGTGCCCCGGTGTTATGGCCCACCCCGGGTTTCTTTCCCCCCGGGAGTGAGGTCTGTAGTCTTTGTGCACCTACCCCTA